AGGACGTAAATTAGACCCAGCAGCTGGTTGTCAATAGCTCAATCTCACACTCCAGGTTGTTGCGACCTTGAAGACGATACTGGAGTACTCTGAGAGAAGATCGATAAAGTGAAGTGTATTATATAATGAGGCTTCTTAGTTTACCTGTGGTTAATTTAATAATAAGAATGTTTAATTTATTGTTAGGTGACGTAGTTATATGTTTTCTTATGGGTGTAAAAGCGACAACATTCGTGAAAAAAATAATATTGCCTAATTCCAAGTCGATATGTTATGTAATGTTTACCAAGAAAAAGAAAGACTTGAGTTTGTAAATGAATTTTAAGCATCTAGAGGAGATGTTTAACGAAGAAATAAAACAAAACGAAAGTTAGTAATGCAAGGAAGAAGAACAAGTAGAGGAGGAGGAACTTTTGAGAACAGTAATTAACGAGAAGAGTTTGAGTATAGGAAGGAAGTGCTCGCTAGTTCTTACTCTTAAAGTTGTATGGATATTAAACTCAGGTGTTCCACAGTCCCACTAGATCAAGGCAGGAGAGCGGTGGAGATAGACAGTCTCTAAACTATCATAGACTACGGGAGAATAATTGATAGGGTAAGGAATGAAGATATAGGTATAATATGTACGGGGAGGAGGGGTCAAAATGTCCCTCGGAGAACTAGATGGATGGAGACCGAGGGTAGGTAGTTTAGGTAATGGATAACACATTGATTGATTGGTGGTAAGGAAGATTTATGACAGGACGAAAACATCAGAACAAGAGGTTGATGGCCAAGACTGGGTTATGTGGTGGAGGAGTGTCAGGGTAGAGGAATGATGAGTGTTTACAGTGACGTAGTAACTTTATAAAATGTGATGATGCTTGTAAGAACGACCCTCACTACTCCATGTACGAACGACCCTCACCACTCAATATACGAACGACCCTCACCACTTTTTATCCGAATGACCCTCACCACTTTTTATCCGAATGACCCTCACCACTTTTTATACGAACGACCCTCACCACTCAATATACGAACGACCCTCACCACTCAATATACGAACGACCCTCACCAATCAATATACGAACGACCCTCACCACTCAATATACGAACGACCCTCACTCTGACACCTCATCTCTCAATACACAGTGACTAAATTGAAAACCCTGTAATCGTTGTAATGGTTCAAGGTTCAAGTTACAGGTTGCTTCACCTCTTACCTGTCACTTTCCTCACCTTTCTTGCATCACCTTCCACCTTACCATCTCTTCTCTGTCCATATAGGAGTGTCATGGGAAGATGGTAGTTAGAAAGACAGACAGATAAGACAGGTGAATTGATAAATAGACAGATACATACATACATACATACATACATACATACATACATACATACATACATACATACATACATACATTACTCTGCTATGTTGAAATTCCTTTGTGATATCTTCAAACACATGAGAAAGAAAATACCTTCCTTTATTTCATTAGACGTTTGTATCATCCTCCATACACCTATCTACCTGGGCAACGTTGCAGATATTGATAACAAAAGGTAGAAATAATTAGTGTTACAGCCACATTTAGGTACAGGCTATTGTTTTTTTTTTTTAAAGCCAACAGCAAAGGTTAATATTATACATGTGAGGCCACCAATCATACGCCCATAAACCCGCTAATCTATCAGGTGATATTACCTCGTGTGTGTGTGTGTGTGTGTGTGTTTCTCTGTGTCTGTCTGTCTGTCTGGTAGGTAGGTATTGGTGCTGAAATCAGTGAAACACACACCAGCCTCCGGCCTTCTCTCCAAGCTCGTAACGTGTCTATATATCTACCTGCCTATCTATCTATCTATACTTATCCCTCTCTCTTTATATTTTCTCTCTATCTATATATTTATTTATCTATCCATCCATCCATCATGCTATCTACCCATCCATCACGCTATCTATCCGTCCATCATGCTGTCTTTCCAACCATCATGTTATCTATCCATCTATCATCCTATCTATCCATCTATCATCCTATCCATCCATCTATCATCCTATCCATCCATCTATCATCCTATCCATCCATCCATCATGCTATCTTTCCATCCATCCATCTATCTAACTATATTTCTTTTAATATCAATCTACATGACTTACTCAAATCTCCACTTAACACGAGGAGATAAATTCACCACGACAGACATTCAGCACCGTCACCGTCACCGTCACGTCACACCTACAGTCACGTCACGTCACACCTACAGTCACGTCACACCTATAGGCCTACGGGAGAGATTCAACCTTGCAGATGATAAGATTCACAGACCTACCCTCCCCGACACCCCCGTGAACGATGTACATGTTACCAACCAAATAATTCAGGTCTTTCTCACACACCCGGTCTTAAAGGTGATCATTCCGGGTGTTACTGCGCATCCCTTACCGCGCATACCTTGCCAAGAGAAAGAGACGTGTGTGTGTGTGTGGTGTGTGTGTGTGTGTGTGTGTGTGTGTGTGTGTGTGTGTGTGTGTGTGTGTGTGTGTGTGTGTTATTTAGAGAGAATATATATATACGTGTTTGTGAAGAGAAAATATTTTATTATTCTGTTGTGTGTGTGTGTTGTGTGTGTACAGTATATGTGAGGGTGTGAGTGGGTGGATGGGTGGATGTTCCAGTCTGTGTAATCAGTCATTCCACGAAATGACTGAAAATTATAGTACATTTCGAGAAAAAATTGTTTCACACAGTCAAACTAACCTAACCTAACCTAATCTTACTTAACCTAACCTAACCTAATCTTACTTAACCTAACCTAACCTATAAAACAATTAACAAACACATCACTTAAGTCAACATGTAACTCAATTATATTAAAACCCTTGTAAGTTTCTCAAGACACTTATGCTACTATCCTAATGACCTATCCAATGGGCGTGGAATCTATGACCTATCCAATGGTCGTGGAATCTATGACCTATCCAATGGCGTGAATCATCCATCCAATGTCGTGAATCTATGACCTATCCAATGGCGTGAATCTATGACCTATCCAATGGTCGTGGAATCTATGACCTATCCAATGGGCGTGGAATCTATGACCTATCCAATGGTCGTGGAATCTATCTATCTGTCTGTCTGTCTGTATGTGTTTGTCTATGTGTGTGTGTGTGTCTTTGTGTTTATGTGTGTGCCTCTGTGTATGTGAGTGTGTATTTATATGTGTGTGTTTCTGTGTGTCTTTGTCTGTGTCTGTGCGTTTGCAATTCATCATTATACACCAAACAGCAAGAAACACCTATATACGTTTGACTAATATGGCTACAAAATCGAAAAAAAAAAATAATAATAATAATAATAATAATAATAATAATAATAATAATAATAATAATAACAAAGATAATTTTAAAAATATACAATATTTTTTTATATTAACCAAAAAAATTATATTCAGGTATTACTTAACATTAACATTTATCAATACAGGTAATTACTAGAGATATGGTATTATTGTTTTATTTTTTTGTTTTAAAGGGACACAAGGTACTGATTGGTTTTAACATTTTGCTTCCGACTGATTGTATTTTAATGCCGTAGATTTAACAAAAAAAAATCATATTTTTTCGGTGTATTTTTTTTTTTAATGTTCCTGTGTATTTTTTTTTCCATTTTGTTTTGTTGTTTTGTAATTTTAGAGAATTAGTCTTTGGTTTTATATTGGTTTATGTTTTTGTTTTGTTTTTAGTAGCAGGAGATAGTATATTCTCTCTCTCTCTCTCTCTCTCTCTCTCTCTCTTATAAATCTCCAGGGCAAGATTTGACTACATCATTTCAGGTGTTGTTTTTTTGTCCCTGTGGCAAATATTTCGTCCCTGGTAGCAGAGATCTGTATGCTGACACCCTGCACTAGACCTAACACAACCCCCGTCATATCTGTGTTAGTTTTGACTCTACGTCGGGATTTCTGCACTATTTTGGGCCCTACATTACTATTTCTGCACTATTTTAGGCCTACGTCACTATTTCTAGACTACTTTTGTCCCTACCTCGCTATTTCTGGACTAGTTTTGGCCCAACGTGGCTATTTTTGCACTTGACACTAAACCAGGATATTCTACACTATTTCTGGCAATAAATCTATTAAAGTATACAGTATATACCTTCTCATGAAAATAATGCGTATAAGTAGCATACCAGAAGGATTAAGACTACGTTGTGTGTATAGATTTTCACATGGTTGCCGTATATAAAATGTGCGTATATGGCGTAACTCAGGGCTTAACTTTACCAATAATTTACGCATGATATGACGCGCGTTATATCTCATATATAATACATCACCATCTTAAGATATATCAAATAATGCTTCTGAAATATACAACGCCTTATATTACCAAGTTCTGCACATGTAATACAACAGCAAATGGTAATATACGATGTGTATTTATATAAGGAGACAGTTCCAGTGCATTAAAACTTGAATTGTGGTGTAACATTGGGTTTTAAAACGCTAAATCTTGCATTCTCGTGTAATACAAGGTTTTAAAATGTTAAGTCTCCTGTGTGTGTGGTGTAACGCAAGGCTCTAACTCTACATGTATGCATATGTAACGGAACTAAACACTCCCCTCAACTCTTATGTTTAATTATCTTCTTTTTTCCTTAGGTAGATCAGTAATGTTGAAACAGTTTATTCTATCCTGATTGTGCTAAGTGTCCTGTTAAGTTAGTCCTAAGGTTTTTTTGGGGGGATTCTCTGATATATTTACCTCAGACTCCTGCACTGTACCTCATGCACAAACTGTTAGGAATACATCACCTTGAAACTTGGTGTGAGTGTCAGGGGGTTTGAGTTCTCGGTTTCTGTCGAATGTGATAAAAATCCGATGAATTTTTTTTTTTTTAAGAATTTTAAAACATTTCTTTTCTGCTACACTGCACCAGCTCCATGCATCTTTGATACGTCTAGCTGCTGTGGTGGTAGGAGGTGTGGATAACCTTTCATATCTTTTTTGTTCTTCCCAGGTCGCGTGGATTGCTTTTGACAAATCTGCCATCCTGACTGTGCAGGACCACGTGATCACCCGGAACCCGCGAGTGAACGTCACGCACGATGGACACCGCACCTGGACACTGCATCTGTCACGGGTCAACGCCACCGACGCCGGTACCTACATGTGTCAAGTCAACACCATCGTCGCCAAGAGTCAGTTCGGCGTCCTTAATGTCGTCGGTGAGTACCAAGACTTTGTTGTTTGTCCGTCCTACAGCTGTTTTGAGCAAGTACTACTGTTTATCTTTCAATTACTGACGTTACTGAGAGAGCAGAGAAACTGTTTGCCAAGGAGATTCCAGTCGTAAGATTGTTTTGCGAATACCAGGACCTGTTGAGAAAAGTTCCACCGTTGTTTTGTGACTACCAAAGAGGTTTTCTATACGTGAGCCGTTTTTGTTTTTTCAAGCATTAAGACTGTCAATTTGTGTTTTATCGCTGAATACTAAGACTTGTTTACGTATGTGCGCTCTTGTTATACGGCGAGTGTCAATATTGTGTCTGAGTCAAGGACGATTGTTTACCCGGAGTGTTTTAGGGAGTGAAAGTGAAGTTGTTCATTTAACTGTACAATAATATAGTAAGAGTTATACACGGCGAAGTCTTTTAAAACCTGCTGTTCTCTTTATTAGAATGCCTGTATTAAAAATGTTGTTCTGATTACTGGGGCTCTTTTGTAAGTATTGTGGATCTTTTGTAAGTATTGTGGATCTTTTCTAAGTATTGTGGCTCTTTTCTAAGTATTGTGGATCTTTTCTAAGTGTTGTGGCTCTTTTCTAAGTATTGTGGCTCTTTTGGAAGTACCACGCATTTTATTGGATTCCTGTGCCTTGTTTTTGTAGTTACAAGAGAAGTAGCTGCTGTTTGCTGTATTGTGTTCCTCACCAAAGTCTTTAAGTAGCATTTAAATCGCAACGAAATTTAACATTTCACGGATTTAGCTAAGATAGTCATTTTTTGCCGCTCCTCAAAAAAAAAGGAGCAAGCAAAAGGTGAATGCACTTAATTCTTATTTCCGAGAAAATACTTCCTAAATAATTGTCCCAATCCCAAAATCTCATCAAAGTTGAGCCAAGACGGTCGCCAGAAGCCCCTCTATCCTGAGATTAGATCAAGATGGTCGTCCCGATCCCTAAGACTTCACTCATACCAAAATCATAATAATCGCTCCCTGGCCTCAACACCCCGCTGTGCCAAGAGGGTCAAGACGTGTGGCCACAACCCTCGCCTCCCACAGTCATGGAATATGCAGAAAACGTCGCCAGTCGCTCTATCGCTAAAGTTTTCGTCTGCGAGAGTTGTTAAGAGGGTCTGGTACTTGACTTTTGGGTAAGGAGGGGAAGAGGAGGAGAAGGAGGCTTGGGTCATCAGGCAGAGTCGAAGAAGGGATCTTGGTTTATTGTTTTAATTAGATTTAACGAATTCCTTAAATCACACCTGCCCTGAAGCTACTCACAGCTGCTACCCCGGAAGCTACACTCCACCAAACGCCGCCTGAGACGACACCTAAAGAGGAGCAGCAACAACAAGCCCAACACCAGCCTGAACTCCCTCTCTTCCTGCTGGAGATGGATCATCACGTCCAGCAAGTACTCCCTTTGCTTGGTGGTGGTGGCCAAGACCTGTGTCCTCACTAAACACCAAGAACACAAACCACCAACAAAGACATAAGAAGTATGAGACTCAGCGGGTTCACAGGGACAAGATTGTTCCTTTGGGCGACTATTGTCAGACCACCAGCAAGACGGTGAAGGGAAAGAAGCAGTTAGAGCCACAACCAGCCTTTATCACCATAACAATTGAATTAAAAAACAAAAGAGAGAGAGAGAGAGAGAGACTTTCTGATGTGACAAGTGAGACCGCAGCCCTTCCGGGACAGTGTGCCGGTTAGAGACAACACCTCTGGAGGCAGCCGGCTAAGGGCACCCGGCCCAAAGATTAGCAAATATATATACTCGCGCGTATATGTGTGTGTGTGTGTGTGTGTGTGTGTGTGTGTGTGTGTGTGTATTGATGTCAAAGGAAGGCAAAACCTGATCACTGTACATTTTAACGAAACGACCGAGTCCTTAGACACAAACGTTGCTCAATAACTATAAAAAAAACCACACCCATTAACACACAGTTCTAACCTCTAAAACACTACCCTCGGTCTACGTGTGGAGGGAGTAAAGGAGAGGGAAGAAAGAAGAGGGATAGAAGGAGGGAGACGTGTAGCATTTTGACCGTCACATTCTGTTCTTAACTAAAGGTAAATTCCACCCAAATGAAAAGACGGCGATGGGAGAGGAGAGAAGGTCTTAAGAATGTCGATAGTTACACACACACACACACCAGCGATCACCCAGAACCGTATCTTCAGGTAGAAAATATTGCTCCTTACTGTACCTTTTCTCTATCACTGTTTAACACATTATTATCAAGCCTCAGTGAGAGAGATATGAATGAACTGTTCCTCGTTAATGCTCAGAACTATCCGTACACACACACACACACACACACACACACACACACACACACACACACAGCGTCCATAATAAGGCGGATCATGAAAGACACCGCTCAGCCCCCTGCAAACTTTGGGAATTAGAATGGAATAAGAGAAGCATGCATCAGGCGGTAAGAAGAAGAAGAAGATGAAGAAGAAGAAGAAGAAGGGTATGTGAAAGTTCGGTGGAGGAAGGGGGAGATAAGAAGGATGAGGAGAAGAAAGGAGAGAAGGAAAGACGATAGTAAGAGGAAGAGAACGGCTGCATGAGGTGGAGAGGAGGAGGTGGAGAGGAGGAGACGGGGAGAGGAGAGGGAGGGAGAAGAGAAACGACAAGGAGGAAATTGTGTGAGGAGAAGTGGAGGAAAAGGAGAAAAAAGGCAAGGCTGACTGGAGGAGGTTGGATGGAGGAAGAGGTAGAGAAGGAGAATGGGGATGAGAGGTGGATGAGGAGAATGAGAGGAGAAAAAATGAGAAGTGTAAGTAATTGGAGTTATAAGAGAGGAAAAGAAGAAGGAGGGGGACATGGCACAGGAAGTAATAAGAATAGAAGAGAAAAGCATTAAATGGAAGAGGAGAGGAACAAAGAGTAGAAAAGAAGAGAGGAAAGTAAATGAACAGTAGGAAGAAGTAAGAAAGAGGAGAGAGGGACAGACAGACAGAAGTACGTACCGTGAATAAGAAAACGAGAGAGAGATAAATTGAGAAAGAGACAGAGGCAAGGAGTCAAAAAACGGAGAGAAGAAACGGGTTAAGGTGCAGAGAAGGAAGGAGTGAGTGAGTGAGTGGGAGAAGGTATGAGAGTGGGATAAGGCGTGGGAGTGGGAGAAGGCGTGGGAATGGGAGTGGGAGAAGGCGTGAGAGTGGGAGAAGTTATGAGAGTGGGAGACGTGTATGAGAGTGGGAGAAGGCGTGTGGTAGAGGCGTGAGAGTGGGAGAAGGCGTGAGAGTGGGAGAAGGCGTGAGAGTGGGAGAAAGGCATGGGAGTGGTAGAAGGCGTGGAGGCGTGGTGAGTGGGAGGGAAGCGTGGTGAGTGGGAGGACACGTGGTGAGTGGGAGGAAGCGTGGTGAGTGGGAGGAAGCGTGGTGAGTGGGAGGGCACGGTGGGAGAAAGGGACAGAGAGAAAGACTTGAGTATTCACACGCCCTCGGCCATCAAGGACCACCGTGCCTGAATCAGCCATGCTCTGAATTACTGATGTTTTCTTCAGTCGTTTACCGAGAGGGGACGCTGACGTGGCTGCTAGAGTGGGGTGGGTAGATGGGTGAATGGTGGTGATGGGAAGACGGTAGATGAGGGGAAGGGAGATGAGGAGACAGTAGATGGGGGAAGGTGGGGTAAGGTAGATGGGTGGTGATGGTGGGAAGACGGTAGATGAGGGAAGGGAGATGAGGAGACAGTAGATGGGGGGGGGAAAGGTGGGGTAAGGGTAGATGGGTGGTGATGGTGACGTAATGGATAATGGTGAATAGAGCCTAGAGATAATATGTAATGGTGAAAATACGATAATAACAGTCTGTGTGTGATACTGATGACTGAAGTTATTACGATGGTGAAGATGACTTGTAGGGAATGAGTGATGGTGAAGGGGGCTGTATCTATAGGCGTGTGGTGGTGAAAAGGCAGGATTAATTTATCAGACCTTGATATTGAAGAGGTGTGGTGTGTTATGGTGATGATAGGCATGTGGAAGCGGTGTTATGGTGATGAAGTGGTTTTCGTGGGGAGTAGAAGAGGTATGGTGATGAACTGATGATGATGATGATGATGATGATGATGATGATGAGCAAATAGAAGAAGTGTGATGGTAAATGTGATGGCAAATGATGTACAACTAAGATGAGAGAGAGAGAGAGAGAGAGACATGTATTCTGGTGTGCGACTTCTCTTCACCACCACGAATGCTAACCCGCTTATTTTGGGGGGGGGGTGTAGATTTTTATTACAGAACGATAAAAGTTTGCATCAAAGCATTGTGTGTCGTAAACTATAAGATTGACGACGTAGTTTACAAGCAAGCCATTGAAATAAAACGAGAACTTATACCCAAGGTGCAGGAGGACTATTCAGGTCCTCACAACTTCTTCAGCGTCTTCTTCGGTTCCACGTCTTCTCACTTCATGCGTCTGTCTGTCTGTCTGTCTGTCTGTCTGTCATCGTGCGTCGGTAACCATTTTTTTAACACCTGATATCACCGTCTTGACAGGAAAAGCCATCATGATGAAGGTATTAAGAGCTATGAGGTGTTAAAGTTTCTTACATATCAACTTTAGGTGGTCAATTATAACCTCTGTATTAAGATATGTGCTGATGTTTCCTGTTAGCAGATGTAACAGTAACAGATGTACTACCAACAGACTGTACTGTACACCTCAACCCTTGTCCAATAGATAGATGTACAACAGCCAAAGATGCCACGTTATTGTTGTTGTTGTTGTTGTGGTTGGTTGTTTAATGTTGTTGTTATTGGTTGTTGTTGTTGGTTGTTGTTGTTGGTTGTTGTTGTTGGTTGCTGTTTTTGTTGCTCCCGTGATAGAGACACTGAGTTATCAAGAAGTGAGCGAGAGTGGCAGGAAAGCCTGAGCGATCATGAATATTATAGCCGTCATCACACCCGCTACAGATTGTGTGTTCGAGGGAAGAATAAGTGATAGGAACCACGAGAGAACCTTCCCTCTGTGTGTGTGTGTG